TTTTGCTGAATTTTTCCATGGTTCCAATGAGTACAATAGTCAGTTAATTAGATTGCCGGACAATTTGTCTGGAATGCGGGGTGATGTCTGGCGATATCTTAAACGTGATCCAATCAAATCCCCAATAACCCACATTCATTGATAACTTCCAAACTGCTTTCAATTGAGTACAAATTGGCAACTTATGGCTGAAAATGTAGCTAATTGTTCGTGTTCAGATTGAACTCTCTAATGTCTCAATGGTTGTGTCTTTTTACGATCTGGAAACATCAAGAACTTTCTGCAATGGCACTTGGAATGTCAAGTATTGATCTTGCCCAAGTGTTCCACGTCCTGGTCTTTTAAAGTCAATTGTAGGAATGCCATAGCTCCACTTGAAGTGCATTGTCTAATAGCGGACTCGCTACTTAAATATTTATTATGCCATACCAAAAGACTATAATTGCATTTTTATGTCTTGCGATATTTGCTATGACTCAGTAATGATCTTAAGTATTTACACTGCGATATAAACCAAAAGTAAGCAGTTCCCACGTCGTTGGGATGAGATGGCAAATAAATTTGCCTAGTAGCAATTAGTATGCATTTTAGTCAACTTTAGCTAACTACGCACTGCGCTCTGCACCTAATTAAATTTTGTACTACACTTTTTAATTATTGACAATAATCGCTTGAACCGAACATGTGAGATGGCGGTTCCAGCCAGACAGTTCCGCCAGAAGCCCCACCCCACAAACCCCCACTCCATTTCGGGTCCATGGCGTTTTATCTATTGCGTATTTTCCGTAGTAGTTGAAAAAGTCCACGTACCCGTATCTTCCGCTGTCTCCGGGCTCTGTGTGCTTTTAATTAAACACACATCAGGTCTGGGTGGGTGACGGTCCTTGGGGTGTATGTAAATATTAGCTTCTCTATATATAGCCATGCCTTTGATCGGCGTGTTTTTCCTTAGAAGTTGCCAAACAACCTGCTAAGCAAATTTGCTTTCTCTTCTTTTGCCCAATGCAGACTTTTGCGGTGTTTGCGCCAACAGCCGGCGAAACCAGCGGCGGTAATGGCCCAAAAGGAGGACCAGTTCCCGGTGGCACTTGACCACCACGTGCTCAAGGACCTGTCCAAGGGCGCGAGGGACACCACCGTCAAGATCCTGCTCCTGGGCACCGCCGAGTCGGGCAAAACTACCATCATCAAGCAAATGCGGATACTGCACATCAACGGATTTACCGACGAGTAAGTTTTGCATCCAAATGAAGTACTTATATTTTGATATGCAACTATCAAGTTTCATAACTTCATATTTCCAATATTTTGTTACTATGTCTTGCGGAACATGTTTTCTTGAAAGTATACTCAAGGTCCTCGTTTCCTTGCCTTACAGTGAGCGGCGGGAGAAGATCCCCGAGATATACCAGAACATCCACGAGTCCATCCTGCAACTGGTGGGCCAGATGGGAGCGCTGGGCATCGATTTCGGCAGCTGTACCAGCGAACGATCGGCTGACTATATCCTCTCCCTGCCCGGATCGGCCCCCGAATATATGAATGAGGTGAGTTCTGGAGCCCTGGAGTGCCCCTATCTGTATCTTATCCCTCCCTGCACTTCAAAGTCGGTTGTCGTGGTGTCGTGGTGTCGTGTTGTCGCAGTTGGAATACATACTCGTTGTGGCTGTCGAAAATCCGAACAAATGACTTTGAATTCAATCGGCTGGACTTGCGTCAAATCTCCAACGGCTTTCGATCGAATTCCCCTTATCAGCAGCGCCCATTTGATTGATAGCCCGGCCATTAGGCGGCGTGGAATGTCTAAAAACTTTCCAAAACAAGTGTTTTGTAAATCGGACTTCCTGGCCATTGCATTATTTTCATTTTTTTTAAGTTTGCCGTAGCTGCAACGACCTTTTAATATGATTCATGTGGCGTAATCTCCCCTATCTTTCCCACATTTACCTTTCTTTAACCAGTGGTCATTATATGGCTTACGATTAGATTACCAAGGCTGTTCAGGTCTCCAAGTGGGCGGGGCGTTGGCCAGATCTAGATGCCAGTCATTCATAGTTTTATGTTGTGATAGTGAGTAATACCAACATAAAGAGTACCGAATTTCGGATTCCCCTTGCTCTGTCCCATTTTATGACTGCTGTTTGCATAGGTGACTCGAATACGGCTAGAATGATCAGTTTGCTGAGGTAATATTATATATTAGAGTATATCTTATTTGGCAGTTTTTATATTTATTTAAGGTTTAAGGTCATTTGGAAGATGGTTGAGAGGTGACGCAATCTTGGCGTTTATGATCTTTATCATATATTCATTAAATAAAATTATTTTAGACGGTTAGCTAGGCAGTTTTAAAGCGCCTTTGGCAATCTTCCGGTGGAAAGTTGATGTGCTTTTTATCACTCACGTAAAACCAATACTAAATTTTGGGTTACTTGTTCTATATTTTTAGGAGTACTGCGACCACGTCACTACTTTGTGGAACGATGTGGGTATTCGCGCCTGCTATGATCGCTCAAATGAATTTCCCCTGCTGGATAGTGCAAAATAGTAAGTATCCAATTGAATGGATTCTAAATCAGCTTTATCTGTATTCTGTTAAAAGGAGCTCCAACTAAAACTTGCTCTCTTCTTCTCCCTTGCAGCTTCCTGGACAACTTTGTGCGGATCAGCGATGCGGAGTACATTCCCAGCACCGAAGACATCCTGCACAGCCGGAAGATCACCACCGGCATCTCGCAAATCACGTTCCGCGTGCCCATTCCCAAGAGCATGGGTGGTGGTGAACAGCAGTTCCAAATGTACGATGTAGGAGGCCAAAGGGATCAGCGGAATAAGTGGATTCAGGTGTTCGAGGGCATACAAGCCGTATTGTTCCTGATCTCGTGCAGCGAATTTGATCAGAATCTGCGCGAGGATCCCGGCCAGAATCGGTTGCAGGAGGCTCTGAAGTTGTTCAGGGCCGTGTGGCAGAATCGGTTCCTCGCCTCCGCCGGATTGATCGTGTTCCTCAACAAGTACGACATCATGGAGCGGAAGATCCGGGCCGGCAAGCACATCGTGGACTACTTTCCCGAGTACGAGGATTTCTGCAAGAGGCCGCAGCAGGACAATTGCTTCGGCGAGAGTGACTGGACCAAGATGTTCATCAAGCAGAAACTGGTGGATATCACGCAGGAGCCGTTCAAGCGCCACTCGCGGAATCAGGTGGATATGGGGACCTCGGAAAGGGAATGCTACTACCACTTTACAGTCGCCACGGACACGAGATGCATCCGCGATGTCTTCTGCGACGTCCAGAAGATGATTCTCTCGGAGAACGTGTCCAGCATGGGCCTCTTTTAATCCTGATCTCGTAGCGGATCGGAGAGCTTCTCAATAAAGTTAAGCGAGGGCTGTCCTCAGGCCCCCACGAACTGTGATCTAGGAGGATATGACTTAAGTAGCCATGTAGGACCTTAGATCGTATTGGCAACAGTATGTTGCACATAGCCTGGTACAACGCTTTAAAATATTTAACCGCAAGAGTGTAGAGGTAAAATCCTCGCAACGAATGCTCTCACTACTCCTTCTACCAATGTCTAAACTCTAAGTATATAGCATACACAATAAAACCAAAACACCCCAGACAAATTTAAAATGGGTTTTGTAACTTGTACAAGCTTTTGGAACACGCAGCCCTAAGAGTAGCATACTTAAAAGGGCACTCACGCCTTTCGCTAGCTATAATACCTTTGCCGGATCGATACAACATATCACATAGCTGCCATAGAGAAAGTCGAAAGTTAATGGGACAAAAAAATAACTTCGTTATTTTGGATCATTAGGTGTTCCAATTGTGTGCCAGTTTTCTTACCATCAATAATTTTGGTTTTAATTTTTACGGCGTTGTAGTTGCCGTAGCAAAAGTCGGAAAATAAATTGAAAATATTGAAGAGAAACCATAGTTTCTTTGTTTTTCGATAATAAATTGTTCCCATTTGGAATGCATCGTTTATTTTTATATTTAAAAAAAGGCATATAATGCCACTCAACTGCAATTTATCGATAAAACCGTTACATTTAATATATTCATTAACTGATAGATTCCACATACATAGTTCCCAACCATCGCCTAACTAGTAGCCAAGTTATACACCAATGCGCTGTGGTCTTTACCCATTACTCGCAGAGTTAAATAGTACCGCCAAAAAACGTTTTTTTGAACCATATGACAAAAATTATGGTAATAGCTCAAGCAAGCAGTTCACTTTTCACAACTATTTTTTAATATGTACATTTAATTTTTATTGCCTTCTTAAATAAAATAAGCTTGCCAGTTTTCTGTGATACTAAGTGATTTTAAATGTCATTCTGTCACTGATCGTTTTTAGCTGCCGTAATGCTTTTAATAATAGATAACACTACGAATAACTTATAACTTAAAGCATTATTACGCGTTGCGTTACTCGTTACGTACAACTTAAAAAAAGTGTTTCTCCTTTGATACCTTACTATAATTATTTTTAACTGAAAATATAAATATGCCTGCATAGAAAAATTGTTGTATTATTTGGGCATTATCATAATTAAATTCGCTTTACTATTGAATTACTGTTTTGTGTCTCATAAGAGTGGAACCAGTGTGCAGAGAGCGCCACCCACACACAGCTAAGTGTGACCGCATGCGATTCGCGGAAAAATACCGCGATGGCAAAAAGTACCAACGCCATAAAAGGTACTAAAATATCTCCTATATATAAGAATAGCGATAAAGCAGCCGAACCGCCAGCAAAACGTTCAGTTCGCTTTGCACCGGCAAATTCGATAGATTTTTGAGTTTGCTGAACCGAGTCGCTGGGTGAAAACTGTGTGACAGCCAGCCGTGTGTGGTGCGATCCAGCCAATTGATACTGCGATAAGAGGCGGCGAGCAAAAGTAATTACCTCATAGCCATCAGCGTTCGAAAATAGTAACCGTGTTTTCTGTGATATCTGTGTGAGTGCGTGTACTCGTTGATGTTTTGTGGTGGTTTGGTCCTCCTTATTTTGCGCCCCTTTTTTTCTCAACCGATGCTGCGTGAGAGCGAAAGAGAGGCGAGGCAAAAACATATTTCCCAGACATTTGCTGATTTAGCCGAGTATTTTATCGATTCGGGAACCAGAGTACGAAAGAAAAAATAAACGAAAAAGATCGCGTGTTTTTGCTTGAGAGTAAAGTCAGGGAGAGAAGGGACAGTTTGTTTTTCGGAAGCATAAAAACCGCTAGGAGACTCGAAAAAATTTCACTAGAAATTTTTGAAAGCGCTCGCGCAAAAAACCGGATATGTTACTCAAAAAAAAAAAACAACAGAAAAAGCTTCCAAAACCAAACCAAAGCGAAGCTTATAGCAAAACGAAATCACCAGTGTGCGCGAGAGTGAGTGAGAGTGCGTAAAAGCAAAGTGTGAGCCCGTGCGAGTGTGTGTGTGATTAGTCGCGTGTCTGGCATGCAATTAGGCATTCAAACTAATTTCCCTCCTACCGGCAAGTCGGGGCTGTCTCATTTGTATTTCGGCTGAATTTTGCTGTTTGCTTATGCATTCCTTCAAGTTCTTTTAATTCGCACGAGACTTTTGTGGGCATAGAGAAAGGAGAGAACGAGCGCGCCAGACTGGCGCTCTGCAAACCACCACAATTGCACTTTCTGTTACAGCCACCCCCTCACTCAATGTGCTCCCGAAACACTGAGAGAAAAGTGATGTAATGACGGGGTAGCTTACAAATCTAAGACAGTCGCTTGAATCTGCTATGAGTATTGTGCTTTAAAGATGTGCAAGTAAAATGTTTAAAACTAAAAACCAAACTTTTTTGGTAGCTGCAATTTTTGTTAACAAATTTACTTTTGGTTCGCTAGAGACTGTGAGGATTTTAAAATTCACACATTTAAATTAAATATTTAAAATAAAATTGATTCACATAAAACTAAATGCCGAGATTTTATCTCCGATTAATAACCGATGTTTTTCCTTGTGTATTAAGTTGTTTGTGTATCCATTTAAGCTTCAGCACGAGGTGTGAAAAGTGTGAAAAGCGGAAGAATGTAGATGAAGATGACCACAAAGCGTGCGCCATTCATGAAAGCGTTGCACATCCCTTGCAGAGCGAGCAAGAGGGACAGCGAGTTTTTGAGGGAAAGAGAGAGAGAGAAAGAATGAGCAAGAGAGAGCCATGGACCAGCTGTGTTTTTTTTGTTGCCTGGCAAAATCAATGAAAGGGTGGAGAGAGAGGAGAAGTGGGGCGGGACGAAGGGGAAAGGAAGGTCGTCGAGAAATTTATGCGACAAAACGCGGGCTTTATGTGCCTGAATGTGCGTGTGTGTGTGAGTGAGAGGGGGAGTGGTGTGGAATTTTTACCGAATTAAGCTTTAAAAATCGTCGTGTAAAATCCCCATTACTTAGGGAACAGATAAGATACTGCAATCAGTAAAGTTTGTGAGACCGCCGGGCATAAACACTAAAAACAGTCGACTTAAAGATAAATTGTAGAGTTCTTATAATTAACGAATGCTCTCATAAGTTTAAAAATCGCATCTAAAGTGTATTACTTTTGTTTTTGTGTGTGTTTATTTGCAAATATGTATGTGAAGTACATAACCTAAATTTATTTTAAAAATTGGGAAAGAAAAGCCTGTAAAATGTACTCAAATTTAAAGGGCTACATTTTAAATCGTCTTAGTTTTACTTACTTTTAGTCCAGTACTAAATTGTGCAGTACTATTATTGATTTAATAAACAAAGCTTGAAAGCTCGATGCTTATTTATAATAATTTACATAAATATGAATTTACTAAATTGTATGGAAACATAAATTAATATATAGACCCCTTCTGGTGTGGATAAAACTTTTTCAAACGTTGACTAATGATGTGCCTTTGACTTATTTAACGAAAAATACAATAAACCACTTTGCCAAACAAAACCTAATGTTTAAACATATTGTGCTAACTACAATAACTAATGCATCTCGTCCTTCTTTTTCGTCCGCAGCTGCACTTAACCCAAGAAACATAGCCACCAAGTCAACACATAAAACCCACCAAAATGATCAACATGGACATTAGCGTTACGCCCAACTACTCGTACATCTTCGACTTCGAGAACGATTTCATACACCAGCGGACGCGCAAATGGATGCTGGAGAACTGGACATGGGTGTTCTACTACTGCGGCATTTACATGCTGGTCATATTCGGTGGTCAGCACTTCATGCAAAATCGGCCGAGGTGAGTCTGCCATTTTGGCCCATGAACCCTAGCTGTTCCGGTATGGGCAACTTTTTAAAATTATGGTTGGGCCAAGACCTTGCTCCCTTTGGCCCTGGAAAATTATCAGCTGTCGGCAGAGGAGCGGCACTAATTACACCCGCAACTTGCAGGCGGTAGACACGTTACTATTTATCGAAACCAATCCCTGGAAAGCCTATATTTACTCAACCGCACTTTTTTCTCCGGAATGTCTGGAGTCCAAGTGTGCCTTTGTTATTACCCCAGACAGCTGTTGAGTTCCACGTGTAATTATATTAAATTACGCTAATCAAACACTAATGGTGTAGGTGGATCCTCAACTCAAGCTCAGCTAACAAACAATTTGCACCTAAGCACGCACTACTCCGGCGTATTTTCCAATAGCTAAAGCGCTATTTTGGGTATTTTAACAATTTTCCTAACTGTCAACGCCGTTTCTTCCTTGTTACCTGATTTACCTGTGATGGATCCAATTGGCTTTTCGTGCTGACAATTGTCTCGTTTCGATTCGCTTCGTTTTTGCCCAGCTGTTTGCCATCCTGCTTCTAATTGTCGTCATCGGGTTTTGTGCCCAAATTAAGTTGGGCTCGTGACTTGCCAACTGTGAACTAGCTATCATTTTTTGCAAGATCATTATTTAGTTTTGTCACCTGTTTGGGCCTTGCTAACGCCACTGTGAAATTCGGTGGAAAGTTGCTGGGTCAAACAGAAAAGTTGCATGTTTATAAAAAGGAAAGTGAGGTTACATCAAATATTTATTTGTTCAAAATATACCACATATTCTAAAAAGTTTAGCTAGATAAGTCCAAATGATATAACTGCCCAAGATGGGGAACTAGCTTCAATTGCTTACATAATGCTTAGAGTAGCGCTTCCTGCCCACACTCCAGCCTACAGCCATGGGGTTTTGGATGAGTTATATAGGGGCTTGGCCCTGGGTTGCTTGGCGATTCTCTCCGCGGACACTCGTCGGGGAATCTGTCGGTCAATTTTTCATTTTAGCGTTGTTGGCTTTGCCTTACACTCGCCTTTTTCGGAATGTCGTTTCAATATTCCAATATTTGCCCACATGGAGGAGAGTCAACATGGCAAATGGACGTACTTGGCACAGAGAGGTGTGAATTTAGTGGAACGGCGATGGGAATCGTTGCTCTTGGGATGAATTGGCAGATTAAAGTAGGGCCCAAGCTGGACTTCATAATATCTTCCATACACGTTATAGGAATATTCCATATTCGTATTACGTCGAAGAATTCCTAATTCGCAGCCAAGGTTCTTAAATCCCCTGTAACAGCCTGTGAAAATGATTCGCAAAAGTTGAATGCAAATGTACTTAACCACATGCCATCGACAGTACAGCGCACATATGCGGGTTTTTACATATGTATGTATTTAGAGAGTGGACTTCCACTTGCATTCCTCCTCATCTAAGTTGTTTTCATTTTTGATTTTCTGTTTTGTTTCACTCGTTTCGGACAGTGGGCCATTAAAGTCATTAAACTGATTAGGTTTATAGGTACACACCATGTCGTACTCGTTTCATTTCAAATGCCCAGCGGACAAAGTTTTCCGCGGTGAATACATATGTGGCACATACAACATGTCATGCAAGAAGTGGGTGTGTCCAAGCTGCAGGGGTTGTGGGTTGTAATCCTGAATGGAACTCCAACAGGACACTCTGAAATGTAACCGCTCTATAGGTCCACTTCAATTGGACATGGTACACTGACCACTTGATTGTGCTTACAATATGTGCTTCCCCTTAAAGTGATTTTTTTATAGCTGATAGTAAACAGAAGATCAAGAGTTCAGAGTCATTAGAGAGTTGTATTATTTTAGTTTTTAGTATTCGTAACGTAGTGCGTATTAAATCTCTTTAAATTATTTAAGATTACACTATAATAAATACGGGTATACAGACTACAGAGAATCTACTAAACAAACGTTACCAAGTCTAAATGATCCATATAAAGATATATTGTAATGATGTAATATGAGTCGAAAGCAAGTTCCTGTTGGCTAGTGTAGCTCTGGACTCGGCGTGCGCAAAACTTTTGTGACCATAAAAGGAGGGTCCAGAATGGGCGATATGAAATGGGGTGGGAAACGTGTGTGGGCCGAGAGGTTAAAATAGAAATCTGTATGTGTTTGCAGAGTAGCACGATGACCGATACTTGTAATCATTTAAATTTTAAAGCGATTGACTCATTCAATTGCTTTGGTTGTCCGCGGTTATTCATGTTGTTCCGAGGAAATTGCACTATTTATATCACAACAACTGAGAATAGTGTGTCGAGGACTTTCGAGTACAGAGGGCCTGCCAGCCCCGCTTGAAATGATGTCCTTTAATGTGGTTTCATCACGCCAGCTCGCACATACAGGGTCCTTTAATGGTTGGGTTGCTACGGCGAAATTTTTGCAATTGAAGCGTGGCAATTACATAACCATTTGCGAATTAACCAATAATTGCCGCCATGACAAGCGAGCCGCGCTGAGTTCAAGTCGCCACCCTCCACGAGCACCTGCAATTACAATCACAGCCGCAATTAACTATTACCGGCCATCATTTAGTTAACAAAATAATTCACAAGCAGCAGTAAAGCGAAAATAATAAACAAATAAATATGAAAACACACTACGAACATCGAGAGCCGAGAAAGGGCAGTGCTGAAAGTGAAACTTAATTCAATTTTGGTCGGCCTATGAGTGTGCATATATGTACATATATTAACATCGAATTAACGACAACCGTTAACACAAACAGTTGGTCAAAAGTGGGCAGAGCTGGCGAGCAAATCTCGTTAAAATGTGTCGTTTAGGCCGCGTTTCTTTATAGGCATTTTGGGTCTGTTTTGTTATGTTCCTACATACGATACCATTTTCGAGACCTCGAAGCTGGAGCTTTGGGGAAAGCTCGCTCTTTCTTTATTTTGGCCGCCCTTTCCTCTCCAGTCAGCATCTTCATATCACGCCACTTTTCCCCATTTTTATTTACCTCAAGCGTGGATCTCTCCCCCCAGAAATAACTCGTTTTTGTCGGCCACCGGAATTGTTTTGACTGGATTGCTGGGACTTGATGATTGCGTTTCGTCTGAGTATTGACAGCTTATCGGCCACCTGCTGCAGCAGGTGTGTCATCCCGCATTACCCCGAACTTCTAGCCATGAATCAGCACTCGTTGGTCAAAAATAGCATTCAGTTTTCCTTTCGTCATAATCAATTACGCCGATAAGATTAGTGATCTGAAGTACTTTCAGGTGGAAATCGCCAAATTTTTATACAATTCTGGGAGAAATGGTAATGGGTCATTGAACGTACTTTAATGGAGGAATTTGAAGTTATACAAAACAAGACTCATTAACAATTCAAGGCATTGCACGGATATGAAAAGGTATATGGCGCTTATAAAGATGGAAGTTAAGCAGGCTAAAACGAGCATATCCAACAATTTTTCTGGCTTGCTTGAAACAAAAGCGTTTATCTTTGTAGTTGTATATAATTGCAACATTTTGTATTACCGGATAGCTATTTATTTCACTTTTCAATCTAGATTGCCATTTAATTAGGTTTCCCGTGCCAAGCTTTTGATTAAGTTATCTGGAAAAAAATTACCTATGCAGCAAAAGTTGATCCAACCTTTCACAATATTTTATTCGTTGCACTTTGAAAGCGGTCGGAAATAACTTGGTCAATGCTGTGACATCAAATCTGGCCAGCATGTGAACCACCGCAAAATATAATGAACAATAATTAAAAACCGAATTCAAACCGAGACCTAAATTATCTCCAAAATAAACCCAGACAGCCAAAGGTTTTGCAATGACCAGAAAAAAAAGGTTTGCGAAAAACTAAACACTGTCGCATCAGTTTCGAGACAATGTTGCGAATTTGCTTCCCTATTTCCATACATACATATTTATATGAGTACAAGGTAGATAGATATAAGGTGTATGGGTCCAAAGTATGGAAGTGTGCCATCGCTTGGAATATGGTGTGCGTATATAGTGGGCTTATAGGGGGCTGTATATATCTACCTGTACAATCAGAGGCTAGCCAATCCGAAACTTAGCGCACACAAATCAATTGACCAACATTTCTGCGGTTTTTTGCTACCTTTTTCCCTCGTTTTCCATTGTCTTTTGTTTACAAACTTTGCCAAATCAGGTTTACTCTCTCCAATTATCAGATTTGCTCTCTCCTATTCGCCAAAGTCTTTCTCTTTGCTTATGCAATTTTCGCCACAAAGTGGAAAGCAAAAGAAAGTTCATCAACTTCCCATAACATTGGCAAGAAATGCGCCATCACCGTCATTATGGCAATAGTGTTACGCAGTCTAATTTCCGATTTCTCATATACATATGTATGCATAACTTTGAACTTTGACACTTCGTACACATGTTTAAATGCAAATTAAAACACATGTCGATGGTATTTGACAGCGATTTGACAGCTAATTTCTGCTAGTACATACAATTGCTAATACAATTGGCACACTAAAATTGCTTGGATTTTTTTTAAGTTTGAGTTCAAAGGTTGACCATCAACAATGTGTAGACAAATCTACCCTTTTCTGAGTTAAAAAACTGTTAGAATCCAAAACTATTTTAAATATTGAGTGAACTCAGAACTCACCCAAAAATTAGTGGATTCGATGCCGAAAAGGCTTGAAATGGTTGTTAACAAGGGAGGTCACACAAAATTAAAAAAAAAATTAATTTAATAGTTTTAAGCATAAGAACAAATACTAATGTTACAAACTGGTTGAAATAAGTTGTTGCATTGTTTAGGGGTACATTTTCATTATTAATTCTTAAAGAAGTACTACCAAAATGATTAAAAATAAAATAAGTTAGTAAATAATATCTTGAAACATACAAGAAATATTTTGCGTTTAAATTTTGTTTATTAATATTTTTAGTTCAGCTGTTACAGTCTGTTGAAGTTTCAGACGCTGGTTGAAATAAGCTATGATATCTACATATGAGTCCACAAAGTGGCATATCGGTTCAAACTATGTAGTTTTCTGGGCTTTTGGTCCTTCTCGCATGGATAACTCATCGGGCAGATCGCAACACCCAACCGTTGGGTGGCACCCTGAGCCTCGCTAGCCGGACGCAAAGTAGGCGCCGGTTCGCTCGGCCGGACGCCTCCCACTCGGGGAAGGAGGGGACGACCTGTGCCCTTGCAAAAATTTAGCTTCAGGGGACGCAGGACGCCCCCCTGCCTAGAAGCCAAACTGCCAAGCGATTAGCAAGGCTTCTTGGTTTTCCTTACTCATTAGTTTGAGGCACGAATTGCCCTCGGTTGGCCACTGGAGGCTAATGCACGTTCAACCAGAACCAGTTGGGAATCATAGAGACAGCTGCCGAGTTGAAAGAGCTTTTGCAGGGAGAGTTGAATGCTCATTGCGGGTGGTTTGTAAAGAGTTCCTAAATCCTGAATCAAATTGGGATGCCTTTTGAAATGAATCGAAAATAGTTTAAATATATTAAATAAATGTTTATGTTTATATTTCAATTACAATGGCGAGCCAATGGTTTGAGAAGAGCTTTTATTTCTTGAAAGGATAATGTCTAACGTTCTTGCGTAATATTGAATAATGAAATGCAGAGCATCTTCAAATAAATTGTATTTGTATATGACACATGATTGCAGGTTATTCATCTAAGCTTAGAGTTCAAGGCAGTTCCTCCTGCGCGTAATTGTTATTAATAGAAGTGATTTTTAAGATTCCCAACTAGAGCAGATGTGGAACTCAATTCCTTAGATGAACATTTCCGCTCCGTGACTGCCCCTTTTCCCTTCCCTTCCCCAGCCAGCTGCTCTGGACGCAGCTTAATTGTGTAATACAGTGGGACTTATCTATGCACATCTCGGCTAGATTTTCGAGTGAGCTGTTTGAGGGGCTGGTGACACAAGTGGGTATTCAATTTGGCATTCTGATTGCCCCCGATAAAAGTGGCGTAGACTACGCTATGGCAATCTTTATGGCTTTGTTTGGGGGAAATAACCGACTATCGATTGTGTTTTCATAAACCCGTTGACGCATTTGGGGCTCTGACATGTGGGGCCAAACAATCACTTCCTTTATAACCTTTGCTTCTCGAATATTTTCTACCTTCTGCTTAAGTATTTGCCAAGTACACTTCCCCTGTTTGCTCAAAAATATGGAAATTTCTTACCAGGCTAAAGGTCAATGCAATCAATTTCTTTGGCTCGCCCACTAACTACACATTGTGATAACTGAAATCACGCTGTTCTGCGATTCCATTGGTTGGCTCTTGCCAGTGTGTGGATTTTTATGACTAATTGCTGTAGAATATATAAACGAGCCTCCGATAAGGTTTGCCAACTGATTTGCAGCCCATTGATTGCGTAAACATTGTTGGCTATGCGTAATTAAGATTTAGAGCCCATACTCGAAACAATTCTCCATTCGGGCGAACTCTTTGAGTGGTGCGATTAAAATTAGTTTTTGATTTAGCTGTTCCCATAACCAAGAACCCTTATTTAAGTAGCTCGTCAAGAACTTCATTAGCCAGATTTCGGCTCATTAAGATGCTAAACCAGTATTTGGGTTTGTGTGTGGGCAACATTGTCTTTGTTGGGATCGATCGGGTGATTTAATGGGTGTCTTTTTATAGAAGAACACATTGTTTCCCAGACGCGTGTTATTCCCGGGTCTAGCCACATTTTGTAGATTACTAAATTGAGCTGCGATCAGCTGAAATATTTCGTTCTGACTTGACCTTGCGTTATCAATTTTTGTGTTTGCCCGCAGACAAACTAATCTGCTATGATCTATTACCTGATGCCGTAAAAACAGCCGATCCCTATTCCATGAGATCGAATGTTCGACTCGAGCTGCTAGTCAAAGTGCCCTGGCAACAAAGTAGCAAATCAGCACAGAGGTTAAACGTTTTTCGAGATAGAGTTAGATTGAGTTACACGATAGAGTTTCGAATAGTATTTGACTGACCCTGCGACATCTTGAAGTTGGGGGTTGATGTCATTGCATTACACAAAAATTCGCACATATTAGGTGCCTGTGCCTATGGCAAATAACAACTTGATCTTTGGCTGTCACGCTCGTCTAGGACGGAGGCATGGAAAATTGAAAATGGTTAGAGTTTGTTGATCTTTGGCGATTTTTTCCGCTGCTATTTCTCGTCTATTGGCCGCGGGCAAATATGCATAATCTCAAGTGCCAACTAGTAAGATATTCTAGTATTTGCTTTTGGTAAGTGTAGGAGTCGGAATATAAAATTGTTCTGAAATCACCGTCGGACTTTAGCCCAGCTATATTGAATTCAGCAAACGTAAAATGTGAATGGGATTCACGTGAACCGTCAGAATAATTCGACTTATTATATAAGCTCAAACGAGCACGAGTACGATACTCCTATCTGGGTACTTTTCCGCTGTATTTTTCCAGTGTTTCTAAAGTTTCCTTTCGCTTTTTATTGCAGATTCCAACTGCGCGGCCCGCTGATCATATGGAACACCTTGCTGGCCATGTTCAGCATCATGGGAGCTGCCCGAACGGCGCCGGAGCTGATTCACGTGCTGCGTCACTACGGACTCTTCCACTCCGTCTGCGTGCCCAGGTTGGTATTGAGCTCCGCGTCGCATCAGCCTTGCATCGTCGGGTTCAGCGACGATCACACGCGTGATCTGATCATGAGGCTGGAAACTTGATCCCCATGCAAATCACCGATCACTGACCGATATTCCAACCTTCTCCCACAGCTACATCGAACAAGATCGCGTGTGCGGCTTCTGGACCTGGCTCTTCGTGCTCAGCAAGCTGCCGGAGCTTGGCGACACGATATTCATTGTGCTCCGCAAGCAGCCTCTCATCTTTTTGCACTGGTAAGTTTTAAAATCCATTGACTTACCATCCAAGCTCCACTCTTAGCAATGACAAGAGAATAGGATGATAATTTAACTTTCTGCAAAATGATTGGCGGCATTTGGGTGGATTTTGAATTGATGCACTATAAGGATCGAGGATAGAAGTACTATAAGATCGATCAAAAAGAGTTTTCTCCGCTTACTATTCAAAGACTAAAATAGCCCTTCACTAGAAACAGTAAAAATACGTATAATTGCTACAATAATTACTGTGGGTGTTGCGCGGAATTTAATTAGCAATAAAAGTGAGTCATGGCGAATTACATTCAACGAGACTCACATGGAGTTAGTTTGGCATAGAAAACTAGCGTTGATAGTAAGTCAAGCTTAGTTGGGGAAAAACGCTTTGAAAATGAATGAGTTAAAGTTGCGAATTATTTGTGATACAAGCTGTAAATGCAAAATGCCCAAAAAAGTGATTTCATTAACATTTAATAAGTTTGAACTGTATATTAATTGAATTGTTCCCGCCCACAGGTACCACCACATCACCGTGCTGATCTACTCGTGGTTCAGCTACACGGAATACACCAGCTCTGCCCGCTGGTTCATTGTGATGAACTACTGCGTGCACTCGGTGATGTACAGCTACTATGCTCTGAAGGCGGCCCGCTTCAATCCGCCCAGGTTCATCTCGATGATCATCACATCGCTGCAACTGGCTCAAATGATTATCGGATGTGCGATCAACGTGTGGGCCAATGGCTTCCTGAAGACGCACGGCACCTCCTCCTGTCACATCTCGCAGCGCAACATCAACCTGTCGATCGCCATGTACTCCAGCTACTTTGTCTTGTTCGCGCGCTTCTTCTACAAGGCGTACCTGGCGCCCGGTGGTCACAAGAGCCGGCGCATGGCCGCCTCCCTGGCAGCCCAGAATGCGGTCAAGCAGTCGAGCAGCCCCCAGCAAGCCAGCGAGAGCTCCAAGTTCATTGGCGCTGGCGAGGATCAGGCCGCCTATCTGCGCAAGGCCAAGGCGCAGTAAAGCGGCGGTGCTCGGCACATCCGCACCTACTCCCATCATCACCACTCCCCCTGTTTACGGCTAAGGACATTTATTTATGTAGCGGTGTACAAGTTGTTTTTTAATTTTAAACCTGGGTGGCACACGACCGGTCGGATGAGAGTTTAATTTTGTAAGCCAAAAGTTGTACCGTGTGAACAGACGTACGAACTATATATCTGAACATGTATATAAGAAACAGACGAACCTAAGCTAACCAAAACTCAGAGTCGAGTCAGAAAACTGTATGTAAATGGGGGCATAGAAGCGAGTACATGCAAAGCTTATGGCACTAAGTGTACAGGCTTGAATTTAAACCTCTAGCCAAAGGAAGATTAAAGGGAACGCAAGGAATTTAGCTGCTCACTAGTTTGCATGAGTTAAATAAATAGTCACTCCTCTTGATACCTCTCGATGTATTTCCCAGCTGCAGTTCTAGAAGTGTGTTGTCAAGCCCAAAGTCGTTTATGTATAGAATTTATAATTTGCATACGCCAAATTAATGTTTTCTTTTCCACTAGCCCTTGAATGTATTTCGATATTTGCGTTGTCAGCTTTTATTTACCTCTCAGGTGGAATTTTGTGTTGCCTCCCAATTTTAGTTAAAATTCTCAAGAAGGATCAGACTCCTGCCTTTAGTGTAAATATCGCTCTGTATGCGATACTCAAACGACAGGCAATCTTGGTTGAAATTGAATTTGATTTGCTGGAGAACTGTTTTCCAACAATCACTTGTAGTTGGGGTCTGAGAACTTTGTACTTCTAAGTCTATACGCATATATATTTATAAAACCTATATTAACGGAATATTAAACACGTGAAAACGTAAAAAATAATAGCAACCAATAACAAAACACTAAGTTAGTCGATTGTTCCAAGATCCAGAGCGCAAATTGTTATTGTAAAGTAATAAACTGTTTTGAAATCTGTAAGAACAAACCATATTGATAACAGTCGAAAGACGACTGATAAAATGTTGCTGACTGACTGGATTAAATCGAAGCATTGTCATAGTCACCAATAAAATATTTTTGAAAATTTAACATATATATTCCAGTCAGTCAGTACAGTTTTGACCAGTGTCAACTGCTATATAAAAGGTTCGATTCTGTTAGGGGAAGGCATTTATTTAGTAAACCTGTGTTGAATGCATTTGAATATTCCTTCAATTCCTCTGCTGCTTTTTGGTAACTTAGAAAAGCTACAGAAAGTCCTTGAACGTAACACAAAAAAAACTAATTAAAAGAATAACCAGAGAAAAAATTAAAATTATATTTATATTTGTAAGCGAACAGAACAGAACGAAAGGGGAAGAGCAAAACCAAGGAAATTAAATGCAAAAGTCCTACTTGAAAAGTTAATTTAGTGTAAGCGGGGAAAGTGTAACTGAAAATGAAAATGAATTCGGAGCAGAAGCTGAAGGAGGATCGTGTGAATGGAGAGAAGGATCGATTGATACTGAACTCTAGCAGGAGAGAGAAATTGAAACGAACAAACTTGAAATTTTTGTCGGGTATACATACTAAATAATAACTAAGCAAGAACACTACAGATTGAGAATGCTAAACAAAACCAACGGATAAATAAAACGTAACAAACGGAAAGGATGGAAGTATACAGTCTATTTATTGGTCGCACTTATGGGGATTTATATTCTTAAAAACCGTAGCCTAATTTATATGTTTTTATCTTGATTTGAATAGTAGCTAATAGACATATATAATGTTAAATACATTTTTGTTAAATTTATTCAATTTACTTCTCTTAGAAGCAAAAGGCCTTGAATTTTTCAAAATGAATAGACTGTTGGCTACCATTGCGTTTTCAAAAAAATAGAAAAGAAAGGAAACCCCTGATAAAATAAGCAAGCCAATGTTAAACATTTCCTAGGAAGCTGAAACAAGTTGTCTTTTAAGTATTTTGCATTATGCATTTGAATTAAAATTTTGTTTGAATTGGCTAAAATTAGTGCTCAGAATTATGGAGTTCTTTAACACTGGCGCGATAAGCGGAGTTGCTGACCCAACTAATCAGTGTCACGCACCCATTCGCGTTAGCCGAGTTTCTTACCCGACCAGAGCTGCCAACGTGTTGGCTGAGCAATATAATCAATATCGATATGTCTATCGGTATGCTTGCCAAGTACGGTATGTTTAAGCGACCGACGAGCGGTCACACGAGTGCAAGTTGGATTCCAATTCGATCCGTCGCGGTGCGTGGAAAAAATGCACAGATGTAGATAAATCAGCAAGCAACGCTATCAGATCAGATACAGCTATATCGTCGCGAAAACCGATTAATTGACCATGTCCAGCGAATCCGCCTGCGGATCAATTAAACCGTAAAAAGGAGAGCGAGCGAGCGTGAGAGACAGAGAGAGGAGAAGCCTGAGGCGGAGGCGAAAGACAAAGTGCATTTTCAGGGCGTGTTTTTGAGACCCCCCTCGCCAGTAAAGCTCACCCAGCCTCCCAGCCGTCGACAAGAAGTTTGCCGACACAACATATTGCCAACATGCTGCAAATTCGCAAATTCACCTGAGCGGCCAGTAGAACAACAAATCAGATAAATCGCAAACTTCCTTTTTCCTCCGTGCGTGTGTACTTCTGTGTGTGCGTGAGTGTCTCCAATCTTTTTTGTCTACTCCAAAAACGCAGAAAGAGAAAGAAAAATGTGTGCGTGTGTGTGTGTGAAATAAATTAAAGCAAAGCAAAAGGCAAAACGGCAAATAATTGAGCAAAAGGCCAAGAGCGAAGAGCTGAAGCTGAAGTATATAAAAAAAAAGCAAAGCAAATAATAAGTAGTAGTAGTAAGCGAATAAGCCGAAGCACCTGGAGCCGAGAGAGGAGGAGAGAGAAAAGTGTACAAGTTGTTGTTGCTGCGCAAGAGCGAAAAACCACCCAACCACCCACTGGCAAATGGGGGCTCAGCAGGGCAAGGACAGGGGCGGCCACTCGGGAGGTGGCGGCTCGGGGGCCCCCGTCAGCTGCATCGGCCTCTCCAGCAGCCCAGTGGCCTCCGTCTCCCCCCACTGCATCTCCAGTTCCAGTGGCGTCAGCAGCGCCCCCCTCGGCGGGGGCTCCACGCTCCGTGGCTCCCGCATCAAGTCCTCGTCCTCCGGCGTGGCCAGTGGCAGCGGCTCGGGCGGAGGCGGCGGCGGATCCGGTTCGGGGCTGAGCCAGCGCAGTGGCGGACACAAGGATGCACGCTGCAATCCCACCGTGGGTCTCAACATATTCACCGAGCATAACGGTAAGTTCCTTTAAGTGTTGGAAAACGGGCATCGAATGCATGCGAAGTACACAGAGCGAAATGCATATTTTCTAAATTGCAGTGGTGCAACGCCTTTTTAAGTCAAATTAATTGAAAAACATCTGTAAATAGCGCACGCTCAAAAAAGCCAATTATTTAAAATTAAAAGTTTAATCATTTTATGTTTCAACTTGTGTAAGCTAGACTTATTTCTTATTGGTGTTTCTTCTTTTACATTGGATCTCATAGATATGCAAAATTATTTTCTTGCACATTGTAGTTTGAGTTAAAAAGGCATAATTTGTAACAATCATTTGCCATCAGGCCCAAATCGATCTGTTTAAGAGTAGTGTACGTATAAAAATCAGAGGATGTACAATAAATACAGATTCTGAGGTACACAGTCCCATTCACCCACACACTAACTGAAAAACATTGCATGCAGCATTTAAATTCAGGTGTAAATTCCATCATAGTATTGTGACTTTTCTTATTATCTATAAAAATGGTTGATGCTGTATGGCAAATTGCTTAGAGTTGTATTATTTTACAGCCCACAAGATATGAATACTTATACATACATATGAATGATAGGAAATCATTTCAGTTGGTGATGAAATAGTTCAATATTGCAACAACATTTGTTAAGGAATAACTAGCTAAAAAATTGTATTCAATGGCTCCTTTTAATAAATAAAATGAAAAATAATAAAATAATGTCAGTGCATCCGAGGTCTTGCCGTTAAATCTCTGTAAATATCGTGTAAATTTTGATTTATTTGCCAGCTTGGGCTGCACAGTGTTGCTTTTATTGTTCATAAAGTGCAGTCCTCTTGGCTTTCCCTTCCCCTCTCTTTCTGTATTATCCCCACTTTTCCTCTATTCACGCTGCTTTCCAATTGAGCCAATTTCTTTTTTCTTCCATTGCTTCCGATTATATTGGAAATTATTGTTGTTATTGCCGGCTAGTTTCATACTTGTTGTTGCTTTTCCGCTGCTTTTGTTTACGGGAGAGAAAGAGAACGAAGCATAAGGAAAAGCGAAGGAGAGAGGAAAAGAGAGAAAGAGCACGCGTGCTGCTGTTGTTTTTGTGCTGCTTGGGGCGGTTTCAATCCCTATTTGCGCTCTCCATCATCCTTTATCCCTCGACCTTCTTGCTAGCACCCTTATCCCTGCCACCCGCACAGTGGTTGAAATTGCGACCCACAACACCGTTGACCCACCCCCGCTGACATATTGCCATTTCCTTCACTTTTCCGCATTTCCCCCGCATTTTTCCTGCCCTTCACGCACTCACGCACATCTTATTTGCCTTATTTTCTTGTCTAATACTTTTCCATTATTTGCTCTGGCAAACTGCATAATTTTTATTTCCATCCTCCCCGTTTCCGCATTTTCCGTCACTCCCTTATTTAGAGACTTTTCCCGTTGCTAATAGCTTTTTTATGTCCCTGTCGACGACGTCCTACCACAATAGGACCCAGAATCGAGTGGCATTTGGGATTTGGCATAAGACTACCGGAAAAACATTTGTCAGGTTATACAACAGTGGTACAACTTTCTTTCAATAAAAAAAAGTAGAATTGAGAAGCTAAGAATACATCAAAGGGGTCGAAAAAATGTTTTGCTTTCGTGTAAATATACATAAATCGTTTTGGCTTATTCCCCTGGCAATTACAAACATTTTTGCAACAGCTGGCAAGAACGGAAGTTACACATCAAATATTATGACCAGGCGCGACAATCTGTTCCTTAATGATATATCCTTGATATATCCTTACATTTCATTGTTTTCAAAAATTGAATTTTATCCTTGATTGAAGTAAATACTTGAAACCCTTCTCTTTGGAAACTCTTCAAGTTGGCTTCCTCAAAGATAAAAGTATAAAGTATTGATTTTCTCTTGGGACTCCAGGCTAAGCCACATTTCCCAGATGATTTACTACAATCTCTGGATTTTTCTTTCTTATCTCGCTTGCGCAGAGCAATTTGTAATCAATTAGTGCTATTTTTATTATAATTAGTCGCTTATTGTGTGCACTTAAGTTCATTCAATCTCTCAGCTGAGGCGCTGATAAGCCGGTTTTCATATAAATATTTATTGACGCTACTATTGAGTCATCGCTCCGTGCAATATGTGTTCGCCCGACATCGGAAAACAAAACGACATTTTCCAGCTTCGTGCGGTGCGATTTCCCACACAGAAAACTCGACAACCAAAATGCATATCTATTTGCCAAACTATCAGAGTGTGTTCCATCCAAAAAGGTCGAAATGGGGGCCTGCAATTGCCTTTTTCGTGTGTCTGGCCTGCGAAATGCAATTACAGAATTACAATGTAAAAACTGTGTCTGGCTCTGCAGATTACAAGCCGGCACAAATCCCAAAAACAGAAACGGAAAGCCCGACTCGACTCACCACAATTGTCAGTCCGGGTGGATCTCGGACTTTTAAGTGGGCGAATTGGGGGGAAAGTCGCGCTACGCTTCTCCGGCTCAATCAAAGTTAATACAACCACACACGTAACTAGGCACAGTGGGATGAAGCCATTATTTCATCGTGTACATATTGTTAGCTTGGAGTAAACAATCTAGGAGCTAAATAAATATAACCAAGGTGTTATAGCTCAATTCATTTAAATTTGATGACTAGTCTTAAGAATCAATAAACGTAGCACAGTTTCTCTTGATATAATTAACGAAAAGAAAAGTTACTAGAACAAAGTGAATAAAATTCTTCTGCTCCAAAAGATAAGAAAAATAATATGACACGCTTTAGAGAAATTCTCCATCTACGACGTAGCAAAGGCAATGTTCATAAGTCGTGGGCGTTGTGCTAGTCGCAATCGCAATTGCAATTTCATAACCTTGTTGTTGCTCGCAATGCGATACAATGTAATTAGATACTTTGGGGCGGCAGTTGCATTGGCGAAGGGACTGGATTGTGTGTCGCCCTGGGAAAATGCCACAGAACCGGTGCAGAAGCAGATGCAGATGGAGACGCCTCAATGAAGTTGCCAATTGCATTGGCAAATGCGGCGCTGCACCACCCAACTCCGTCCCGCTGGAAAACCCGGGCCACCATGGGCACCACTTTGCAACCAACTCACGCAAGTTGACGTCTCTAAAATAGACTCAAGTGGGAGGGAAGCCACAACTCTTTCTATCGCGGAGAAAAAGTGCACGAAGTGCGTTTCCCTGCGTTGTTGTCCCTGCACTTACAAAAACATGTTTTACAAATTCCTCAATATTTCTGCAATTGAAACCGCGAATTTTGCGATACCATCAAAATATTTTGGAATTTAACAAGTGTTTGATAACATTTTACAGTTCCTTGGATTGGGTGCCATTTATTTTGACCATA